TTGCTCTGCGCGATGCCGCGATCAGGAAGTAACGCAGCACATCCCAACCAGGGTGTTACGGTAGCAGTGCGAAAAGGTCCTCGCCTTTTTGCCGCGTCTGTCATTTCCAGTGGCTCCTTGCTCGCTATGTAATTGCGTGTCATTAGGGTTCAAAAATGCACCATAACCTTTTTCCTGAGAGGATGTGCTTTGAATACTTCATTCAAATTTATTATTCTGTTACTATATTAGGTCAAAGGGACAAACTTCGACGTTTGTCGTATGGGCATAACGGGACCTGGCAATGGGTGTTCCTCTTTATCGCTCCCTTACTCTTTATTATTAGGGAGAGATAGGCGCACCAGCGAGGATGGTCGGCCAATGGTAGGTTATAGTAGGCCCAGCCTCGCCCATACGATGAACGTGGAGTACGCCTTCAAGCAGGGAAGATAGACACAAGAACAATAAAAAAAGTAAAATATAGGAAAAATAACAAACACAAATATATATAGGTAGTGATGTACAGATGAAACTTACAGTTGTCATTGTGATAAAAGAGAAGTAGAATCCAGAGAAGAACTGCCAGTTTTCCCATGATCCTAGCAATACTGCACCGACGGCCATGTAGCCAAGTAGTATCACAACAATTAATGCCACAGGGATCGAGATGTATTGCTCAAGACCCTAAACAAGCTGTTTGATTTGGATCTATGCCTAGAAGCGTGGTGATGAATAGTAGTCACTTTTCTTTCTGTTGGACTTCAGAACTAATGTCTAGCATGTGCCTCAAGGTTGGAGCCAAGGGTTAGACTGGGATCAATTCGGAACCGTAACGACCTTCTTCTTCTTCTTCTTCTTCAGCGTTTGTCCCGCTCGATGGCGGGGTCCGCTCTTTTGATACAACTACGCCACTTTTCCCGATTGAATGCCTGATCGGGGTGAATGCCGGCTATTTTCAAGTCGGTATGCAGCGTGTCGAGCCAGCGCTGTTTGGGACGCCCTTTTGGCCGCTTTCCAAGTACCTCAGGTTGGAGAGCAGTTTTACCCCGGACGAAGAAGCCACAACGCCGCACAATCACCACTGTGACATTTTTTGCAATGGTTTCTGGTTATTCGACTCCAGTTCTTGAACCGATTGTGCGGCATTGTAGCCTGCAAATGCAGGGTGGGTGAGTGATAGCTAGTGTGGTGAAAGAGTATCATGTACACGTCACGCACACGTGATGACGAAATACCAACCTCCATGCAAAATGGAATGCGGAAGGATCAAAACAGGGGGAAAACTTATGCAACAACCTACTACCTCAAGTCGAAGACCCAGTTTTACGTACGGTGCCTTAGTCAACGTCGATCTTCTTCATAATCTGCTGAAATTGGTCTGCTGCTTATCGGCAGAAGACTTTCGGTATGGAGAGCGTGAGGTGCTGAGCCTGTTTAACTGAAGGGTGCAAGGGTACTTCTATTTGTGCTAGCTACATTCCAAAAGTGCTGCTTCGCTGAATCCACTTTTATAGCATACATAAGCTACTTGTCTTCTTTCGTACCTGCATGAGTTGCTCTCCTTCTCGGGTGCTCTCATCCTTAGTTGGTAATGCGGCATAAGTTGGTCGGTGACACTGTTTTCGAGCTTTGGAATATCTGTAAATATTGAACTTAGTTCTTTGTTATGGTTCGGCACTTTGGCTGGTACAAATTTGGTGAGTAGATACGATGAGATGGAGTCCTAGAGCGATCTAGGAGTACTCGTACAATGGATTCACTCGCGCCATGGGCGGAGATACTGCCGAAGGGCGGGGTTCTCGCCCTACAGGACCTTTCTGAGTCACTTCATGCGCGCCTTTCATCGCAAAACATACCTAATAGGGACCTGGTTCCCCTTATGTCCAAGCATATTGTACACCAGCTCAGTTTCCTCACCTTAATAAGAGTGTATTCCTTGAGGCTTTGCCATTTGCTTTCACCGTTTTTTTTTCTTCGAGAAGGGCGTTTGGCTTTTATGTATACATACACACATACATACCGTAAACAAACCACACTAACAAACACACATATGATGGTGAGATTGGTCTCAAATGAGAAAGAAGAAGTTCTGTTCCAATGAGCACTTTCAAGTGACTCAAGTATGGAGAATAGAATCAAAAACTTCAGTTGCAATAGCGTATAGAAAAATCACCTTGAATAAAGCCAGACGATGTTTTCTGAGAGGAATTTGCCAATATCAGCTACTGTGATCAAAATTAGTGGCACACCCAGAAGAGCGTATGCGATGCAAAACATCCGCCCATGCCACGTGACCGGCACAAGGTTACCGTATCCTGAAAAAAGGTTGAGCATATTCCTCCTTCTATCAGTAGGAGCTGCGTAGCGTTTGTCCCTTTCGCGCGCCTCGCCGTCGCACGCGGTCACCAGCACGCTTTCGCAGCGCGAGAAAGAGTGAACGTTCTTCGAAAGTCGTACCTATCGTTGTCAGGAGAGTGGCTGTGAAGAAAAGTGCAGTGATGAATGTCCAGGAGTACTGAAACACATACGAATCGTTGGATAAGAATCCCGCTTGCTAGTTAGTAATTGCTTTGTTTCTTGATCAGAGACACATTTTTCGTTTAAAAAATATAGAATCTTCTCGTGTAGATGTTGTGGAAGTACGCGAGCGCGTAACATTCTTGAGATTGGAAAGAGGGTGACAAAGAGGCCAAGGATTTGTAATACATATGGGCCTCCAGCCTCTGAACTAAGTCTCCACCCGTTGCTTGACTGTTTCGTCTGAATTTCATGTTCTATTCCGTGTTGCGTGGCTCTCGCGCGCGGTCTGGTCTCTCGTCCCCGCGCTGGGCGTTTTTTGGCCTCTCGCTTCTGGGTGTGATCAGATGGGAGAACCTATTTTTTGAAATATTGTGGTATTTGATGAAAACAGATAAAACGCATATTGAAAAAGCTTAGTGGTGTGCCTCTCCCTTAAAATTATCAGAAGCTACACCAGTCCCTCTACCGTACGCCTCCCTCGGAGGATGGTTCGGCGTGTTCACAACAGTTATGGCCCAGACTTTACTTCTAGGAGAATCGTCTGTCTGCCTTTGACACCATGATTATCATGAAGTTTTTTGTATATTGCGCTTCATAGAAGCCGCGCCGGAATGACCAACTTTGTGTGTTGCAGCTGTACTAGGTAATTCTGACGACCACTAACCGCCTCATTTTCTCCACCGGGCTTGAGAAGTGCCGCGCTAATGAAATGTGTATCGAATGCCTCGAAGAGAATGCGAGTCGAGTTTTCTACGTAAAGACTGGCTCGTTCTTCGATCAGATCTGGAAGCTGCATAATTTAAAGCGTAAAAGGTCCGGTGTTTTCATAGCTGCCTTACCTGGTGGTGCACCGGATTCGACGAGAGTCCATAACTCGTCCAACATTCGTTCCTTGTGCTGGTTGAAACGTCGTATCGCTGACTCTCGAACAGCCATCTGTGGATTGTTCGTAGTTAAAGGGAGAAAATTGGCTTTTCAGTGAAATTCCATACACTATGCATTTGGTACTTACTTGAGGGGCTGGGAAATATCAGAATTTTCGGCACTCACCCTTTACTGCCCCAGTCATCCAAAATCTAGCCAGGTTTTGACCGACATTTTTTCTCCATGGGCGGAATTGGCTAAAAATTTGTTTCCTGGGGTTATTTGACCTCCTGAACATGAACATCACTCTGCTCATCACGAAACCTCCTGGCGCCGCGCCAAAATGCCATAAATCGCCAAATTTGCTGAATTACCTCCCCCTTCTAAAGAGAACGAACATGTTTAATTTCCATCCTTTTCTTCGCGAAAATTCCCAAGGAATATTGGGTGCCGGAGTTAAAACGGAATGGAAGAAGCACAAGAAACGAGTAGAAAAGGTAGAGTAACCAGGAGAACCTCGTTAGGTCGTTCCATGTGATAAAAGGCGACCGCTCCCCCAACGACATAGAGCAGCGAAAGTAGAATGAGTCCAACGTGAGGCAGCACAATTCGAGCGTACTTCTTCCAAGTTGGCATCTGTGGCACGATGATCTGAAACAAACCTTCATCTTTAATGGAATCTAAGGGTCAGCTGAAGATTCTCTATTCATTTTTCCCCAGCCATTTTCTGTTCAAACCTTTTATAGAAGTGAAGCTTCCCTAACCTGAGTAGATGCATTCGCGTTCGACTGTGAGTCGACATATGCACGGCCGATCCGCAAGGTTGCACCTCGGCCGGTGTATGGCAGTTGTGTGGCGATAAAACCCATAGCAGGTCTAGTAGAAAGTACTGTTTGGAGTGAAAGAACTTGACGAAAGCTGCGATGACGAATAAGGTCGAATCCGCTCCGGCGGCCTATTCCATTAGGACTCGTATCTCATCAACAACGGCTCAGGCAAGAATGCTTATTAGGGCTTTGGCTAAGCCTGCTGTTGCTGGATGTAATGTTGTCGTTTTTGTTGATCTCCGCGTTGTTATAGTTTGTTTGGAGGGTTCTGAAGGTCCAAAAGGAACAGTGGTGGTTTTTGGGAGGAGTTCGAGCGAAAGCGAAGAAGATGCGGCAGCTAACAAAAGGCTGAAGTATTGATGAGTGTCTCCAATCCTCTCTTCAATTTTCTGGTGAAAACGTTGAAACTTTCAAGAGCAACTTGGACCGTCAATATTTCGCAGGAATTAATAATAATAATAATAATAACAATAATAATAATATAATAATGTACAGTGATATCAATAATTTTAAATAATATGTAATATTAATGTTCGGCTAATAGATAAGTTATCAAATAGAGGATAAGGATTTGGCACTCGCAGGGTCCCATTGCGGTTGCGGCGTGCACTTTACTTCAATTCGGAGTTGTAGCTTTTTTTTGAATGCGAAATAGCCCATACAATGACGTGCCGAGCTCAGTCGATGGGGTTTTGTCCTCCAGACGAATCTGTCACCAACTTGCCGTACCTAGAAAGTAGAAGGCTTGTTTCGCCTGGGGTGGGAGTCGATCCGAAAACTGACCCATGACTGCAAACAGGTGAAAGGGCCATTTGCCACCTACATCATTTCGTCTTCTATAACATCACAGTGATGTGAATATTTGTAACAAACTACAGCCTAAACAGATATATATCGGGCATAGTAGTTTCATAGATAGGACCGTACTTTGTCCCCAGTGATTTGCTTAATGAGTTTTTTTTTCAATTTTTATTTGTTTTTGTGCTTTTATTGAGTTTTAAGGACTCATCGACAACTGCAGTTTATGAGCTTGACGCCAAACACGTTGATTTACCAATGAAAAAAAGTGGACAAAATCCATCGAAGACACCCTAGGGGGCCC